CACACACACACACACAACCTAAGAAAGTTAGGAACATGAACAAGTAACTCCATGTGAAATTTAAGCTAATCATTCAGACCATATTAAAATGGAGTTGCAGAGTACCTGAGACGGTATCTGCAGAAGTTCTCGCTAGCGCACACACAGTCATTGTGGGTGGAGACATCGAGAATAACTATCGTCCCACCCAGTCAATTGCTGACTGTAGACTGACTTAAGTATCATTAGCAATATTTTAATCAATAGAGTAAGTCAGGTGAAGAGAGATTAAATGATTTAATCCATTTCACTTGCAGAGTCAGTGAGAGAACTGGGTGCAGGATGTGTCTTGTGTTTTCCAGTCTGCCTTCCTCCTGGCTGGATCCTGCTGGGCCATCTAAAGCTTCTGCAAGACAGAGTTTAGTACTCTCATTGGAGCACCTTGGACAGCCAAACAGCATCACTCCTCTGATTCTGGCCAGCTCTGCCAAACTTGGTGACGATGTGAGTGATGGCATTTAACAATTAACTAACTGGTGTCAGAGCCACTGTTACTCACAATTAAAATTTTTCAGTTCTGGGTCTCTGCCTTTAAGCACAGGTGTTGCTTAGAAAAAAGTGCTAAGAGGCTATGCTGTTGCAGCAAGATACATCTTACATTTCTTGTCTGATGGGAAAGATTCCATCGAGACATATGTTTGTCTAGACTTCCATTTTGGGGCTGTTATTTAAGCACATTTTAAGAGCTGTCCTTTCCATTACCTCTTCTAAAGAAAAGCCTCATTGATCCTATTTCAGATCAAAACACATCCTATACGCAAGGGACTTATTTGACTGCCAAACCACAGTGCATCGACAGCCGTTTTTGTGCTCCTAAAGCACAAAGTTCACACCATGAGTTGGTTGCCCAAGAGAGGGTATAAAACTGGTCTCTGTTCTTGAGAACTTACCCTTCTATATTTCTTTCTTTATACTGTTAAACGCTGTAGCTGCATTTAAAACTTGAATAGTTTAGTAGCATCCCTTTAACTGGTTAGTGAACTTTAAATAATAACCATAATTTAATCCAACATATTGATTATCTTTTCAAATGAGCTGTGGTGTTTGCTATCTATCTCACTCCAAAATACTTTCCCCTTTGGTATTACCTATGATTATATTGCAGATTTATATATTTCTTCCTTTCTCTAAATACAATCCTTATACTCCTTCCTTAAACTCTGTGTTTATATATTTTATTGAATTTTCAGACTGGATTCACTTTCAGCATCTGATTTGTTGCAGTGAGTTCGGGCTGCCTACCCAATTCAAATATGGTTGCTTCTCTTGGATGGCTGCCTGACTTAATTATTTCCCTGCTGAAACTGCATTACCAGAAAACAAATTTTCTTATAATGGCATTAAGTTAAGACCACAGAAACCTGCCCAGCATTAGAAATTTTTTCTTGGCAGCTTTTTTATGCTTTTTCCTCGCATCATTTAAATCAAGAATGAGATATCATTTAGTATTTCACTAGGTCCTGAATATAAATAGGCCTTCTATTTTCCTTGATGTAAATATAACAACATCAGCATTGAAGTAATTATCAAATCACAGACATTACCCTGCAGTCTTTATAAATTCAAATCTCCCAATTAAGACAATATGTTTAAGTATAAAAAGGCTGAGTAATATAGTGCTCAGGTTTATCATGTCACCCTCCTTATTTTACTGGGTAAAACAGTTCCTGTTTCTTTATCCTGAGACAAGTTTTGATATGTAAAAAAGGGTTAATAAAATACTCACTGGTTTATCTTTAGAAATGTGACAGTTTTTACCTACCAACCCTTCCTAAACTAGTCAAGACTGGAATGAAGCATCTTGGGGCGAGCATATATTTCAGTTGCTTATGTCAGAACTAGGCAAACATGCTAATATGTGGAAATGTCAGTGCCCTTGAAAAATTTGCTTTCCTTTGTTAATTTAGAAAGAAGGTTAGTTATGAAGTAATACGGTTTGATCTTGCTGCTGGTTATGCTGTGTCATTGACCATGAGAAAAAGGATTAATTCCTTTATACTTCCACTGTTTGAAAGACTGCTCCCTCGGAACAGCCCCTTTCCCTCTAAGCTATATACATGCAGAAAATAAAATACACATTTTTATAGTGGGGTATTTTTAAAGAAATAACCACAGAGACACTGATTTAACTCTGAGAATGTAAACATTTAGTGTTAGAGACAGCCATCTAAATCCTGTCCTCTGTTACATTAATCCAATTCCATTTTAGCTAATGGCAGCCTCCTGTCCATTATCCTTTAAGAGGTTAGGACTTGCTTGCTAAATATGTGCTTTCTTGGTAGCTATTACACTTCTAAATATTTCTTCAAAATTTTCTAGTGTATTTTTTTTAATGATTTATATTAAGTTTGGTTTCTTTTTTAAGTCTACCATTGATATGAAACCTCTCACTGCAATTTAATGAGGAAGAATAAAAGAAGAGGAAAGGCCATGAAGTTATGGCATATTTCTTTCAGTACTTCAAATCAAAATGTTCTTCTCACTGCAGACCAGTAAAGTCAGTACGTAATCCTATAAACTAGAACTGAAAAAGTCCATCACAGTACATAATGGAGTAAGTCTGGCTTTTTACCAGAAAGACTCTATTTCCTACTGTACATTTTCTGGTGCGTTGTGCATTCCTGTTTTAAACAGGAGTTTCATTACCTGTTCCTGCACAACCTAGAGCTTTGCTTTTCCCTTTAGATATCTTTGCCCAGGGAGGCTTGGCTGTCAATCTCAAACTGTAATTCCACCTCAGAGCAGAGACAACACTTTCTATAATGTTTTGTGCAGCACACAGAACTCAGTTCGCAGGTATGAGATTTTTAAGTACTGTTACATACTGTTATCACACCTGCAGTCCCAGCCACATCCAGAGCTCCACTGCGCTTGGTGCTGTGCAAACAGAAAGGGAACACTGGAAGCTTACAACCTAAGCAGCTAGGGCTGACGACAAGTGCCAAGGGGACCAAAAGCCAAAGTGCGAAATAACAAATATGGAGTAAGAGAAAAAAAGCATCTACCAATCCTGCCAGCCAACCCACTGTCTCTTCTACCAGACTGCACTACCTACCTAAAAATCTCACTCAGGTGACTCCCATTAGCCACTTTCTGATATCAAAAGGAAAAATACTCAGGAAACCACACTGCTCAAATCCCAACCCATCTCATACGGGGCTGTTTGTTCACAAAATTATGCATAAGAGCTAAGAGTGCTCAGCTCCTTCATGTGCGTAGCCCTAGGAAAGAATGTATTTTATTATTTGGCCTAATAATGACATTGAGATATTCTACATACCTGGAATTATAAATAGTCTCACTCTATTTAGCAAGTTCTACTTGCTTCTTCAATTTAACAATGGTAAAAACCTGCTGTAACAGGGCAGGGAATACCAATAGGCTCTTACTTATAGAAAACAATTTCCCCCAACTGCTACTTTCCAATGATGAGTTATCAAAATATTTGCATTTGGTTCCCCTTAGTGGGTGTGTGTATTAATTTGGCTTCTTGGGTGCACTTTAAAATAAGTGCTACTGTTCATCTGTTTCTAATTCTCTCTGTAGGCCTTATTCTGCTCTAACTATCTTAGCATTTTTATGACTAGACTAGCAAGGACATATACAAAGATATAAACTACAGAAAGATCCTCATCCTTCCCCCAAAACTGCATAAATAGTCTAGTATATGGAAAAAGCTAATGATCCAAGCAGTATAAGAAAATATTACAAATTAGAATTCTAATAGATAAGCTTTAGATGCAGACTTATCATGTAATGATACAGTTGGGAAAATGGAGTATTTTTATATGATTGCTTTTTCTATTGCCCTAGCCTCTTGCAATAACTTCTTTAGCATTTAAATTCCTGGTGCTTTCTCATTGCATTTAACAGACAAGACTTTGAATGAATGTTACTTGACAGCAAGTAACAGCAAGTGGCCTTCAATGAGGAAGGCAAGAAGTTAGCAATGAGAAAATATGTTTACTTCAAATAGGTACACCTTTGCATTCCTTGCTAACATATTGTTGGCAAGCTGTTTTCGTGGATTTCATCAGCAAATATAACCTGTATATGATAAAACTCCCAGTAGCCTAGCAGACAAGGAAACTGAAATGACAGTAAACAGCAAAGTAACAGCCCTGTTCTAAGGCTCGCTTGGATGTGTGGCTTCTGCATCACGGAGCAAGAGTCTGCTTCTGTCACCAATAAGATCAGAATTAGGGAATAGCTGTTACGGCACAAGCTGTGCTTACCTAGTCATATACTTACTGAGTCACGCCGTGTTATGTACTGCTCGGTCCCAAGAGCCCTGAAAAAGAAATATCATTAGCGGTGAAACAACTGCAATGTAAGGACCAAAACCAGAAGTACCTGCCCCAATATATACTACTAGTTGCACCTAACAGAAAGGACTATCATGAACACGTTGAAACACATTTTAAACTTGGAGTTTTGAATATATTTCAACAGAACTGTAAAATGTATGCGAGTTCTACTTTCTAATGCCATCCGCCTCCTCTCAGCACTTGCTTTTTGAGGCACTCAGTAGCACAAGCTTATCATTTTTGCTTTAAATTCGGTCAAAATTAAGTAACTCTTGGGTGTTCTTCGGAGTTCCGCTGTAACTCTGAACACTTGCTCAAGAGCCCAGCAGCACTGACACACTTCCTCTGGTTTGCACGTCCGACTAGGACAAACAACCCCTTTTTTTTTTGTTCTTCGAAGATGCCAGAGGTGCCATATCTGTGTGTTATACCCACACCTCTTTGATGTCCCCCATATTCTGAGATTTCCTTGGCGACAACCTGTCAAAACTGACACAGCATAGGAGACGAGAAATAAGACTGTTACTGCGGTAACTGGCTAGTCCCACCTCTATACACAAATATCAATCAATCACGGCACTTTTTGCTATTTGTGAAATCGGGAGCCAAAGACATAAGACAACATGGACTGCTGTAATTGTCATGCTACTTTTATTTAATTGTGATCTTTCCTCATCCACTTTTTCAATAGGCAGCATTATTTCAAAGCAGAAAAGAAAAACAAACCTATGATCAAAACCACACATTTAAAATAATTTAAATTAACATTTTTCCTTTTGAAGACAATTGAAGTGTAAGATAAATAAAACATTGTATTGTATAATGCTGGATATTCTCCATAAACAGTTCACAACTAACAGTTTCTCCATTAAGTGTTCAGATAATCGATATATATCAGCTGAACTACTCCGGCACTGACTGAATCTTTAGAAGGACAAGTTGTTTGGCTGGAAAAAAGTGAGATTTCACTGAAGAAAAAACCTATAGAAATTATTTTCTTCATGTTTATGCATCCTTAATTCTCAGTCCTCTCTGTTTCTTGGGGAATGCTTTCTCTCCCCTTTGTCTTGGCCCTGAACTACAGCGAATTGGTTTTATCTGAGCAGGGCTGGAAGCTATTGGTGCCATCGCTTAGTTTAGCTAAGGGACTGAACAACACTGGAAGATGTTAGAGATCACCCACAAATCCAGGTATATAATCCAACCGAGGCTAACCTCCTGAGAATCTCTCTACAGAGCTGCTCTTTTGCTTCTATATAGTATATTTATTCCATTCACCATAAAGATAGCCTAGCATTAGCTTCACTAGGTTAAATCTAGCATCTATGAATATCCACACACTGCTTGCCCAAGAACGAGAGAGAGAGACTCTTGCTACAGTGAAGAAATTCAGCTAGGTCAACAAAACGGAGGCTGAGGCTCAGAATTTCAGCCTGGTTCTTGGTATTGCAACGTGAACTGTATCTAAAAGCTCATCAATCAGTTCCTCCTGTATCTTGTTTTATTTCAGTGGTTGCCATTTAGATTGACATAGCACCTAGAGATCCCATTGTACAACAGTGCAGAGGCCAGAAGAGCCAAATTTATCTCTCACTTAGAGACCTCAGAGTCTAGGCTATTGCAATAAACTAGTTCTGCCCCGCAATAGAGTAAGTCTGCATAAACAGAACTGTTTCCTTTCTTCATGCCACATCCCAACATAACTTCAGTATTATAAAGAATATAGTTATAACTCATAATATTTAACATTAACTCTACAGGTAAACAAGAGAGAAAAATTTAGTTCACTGCATAGACATTAGGCTTGGGTTTAAGAAATAGAGTTGAAAAATCCATTTCCGTCTGCTCTTTATCATTAATACCATTTCTTTATAAAATTACTATAAAACACTTCAGTAATGGACACTCCCTAAAATACCTGAGCAGCTTTGACTATCAGCTCCCTCCTAACCTGATCTTTGATCCAGTCAACCTTGTATCTGTGTTTCTGAGAATGCCTTCACTTTCTTGTCACTGCAACATTTCCAAATTTCATTATTTTATCTCAAGTCGTCTCTTATTTAGTGTCTACCCTAAAACCTCAGTGCCTATGGGCAAACAATTAAACGGGAATCTTAGTTTCCCTTTACAGAGTTTCCACCTCTCATACTTGCAGCAAAAGTCTTGAAAACATGAATTACACCAGCTTAAAGAAGGCAAATAAAAAAACACTCAGAGGCATTTTTTGGTAAAATTCTCAGGACATTTAAGACAAGCCTGTAATCCGAACAGCAGAGACAGGAGTCCGACTCATGAATACTATATCCTTGCGGCTGACATGTACGGATCCCTCCTCACTCTCCTTCTCTGCTTCTGCTTTTCTAGTTTTGAAGTTTGCATGAGGAACGAAGAGGTCCAAATTTCTGGTAGAAATCATCTTCAGCACGAATCAGAGCTTCCTCATCTATGTAGACAGCTGGTCTCCTGGAAGCCACAAAATACTGCACTTTCCGCAGGCTCCATCCCATCACGTACTTCAGCCAGCCACAGACAGCAGCTGTGGACCTGCCAACACCGGCGTTACAATGAACGTAGACAGTGTGTCCGTTCTCAAGTAGCCCATGCAAGAGGCAGACAGCTTGTGGCAACATCTGTATTCTTCCTAAGATTAAAAACAAGGCACATTCACTTGCATTTGAGAAAGTTACGTTCATGGTTGAGATTATGTCCATATAGCCTGAGGCACTGCGAATCGCAAAGAATTTCTTAAAGCCAGTTTATTTTCTTACACTGGCAGGGAAATAGGAACTATGTAGGTCTCTGTTTCTATGTAGGTTTTCTGGAGAACCAGAAAATGAGTATCTTTCTGAATAAGCTATGGACAAATTTTTCAAAAGAGACTGTGAATGTGTGTACTTCCATACTTTTAAACGGTTTCATCTACTTTAAAAAGTATGTCTTGAACACTGGATAGCCAGAGTTGCTAATGTGTTGTAAAAACCTGCTGTATTTTAAATTTTTTTTTAATGGCCTTCCACTCTAATCTTTGTTTCTTCTTGCATCATAGGTCCAGCTGACACAAAATCCATATAAATGGCCAAGTCTTCTCTGAAAATACGTTCTGATTAACACTAAATGTGTGTGGCATCTTCATTTTCACAGGACTGAAATAAGGCAGCAAATTATATCAAACAGCACATCTTATATAGCACTGAAGTTAGAAAGTCAAAATTGAAATATTTTTAGCACTAGAGGTTTGGGAAGCTACCTAGGTACTGCCACCTTCCAAAACCTATAATGAAGGTCAACAGTTTAGTAATAATGAGGGAAGGAGAACGGGAGAGTATTTTCCTTTAGAACTCAACATTGTTACTATTTGATTATCTATCAAGCATATGGTAAAACAACATAGAACAGTCTTTCACTTCCAAAGGCATGAATATACCTCGTTTCCAGATCTCTTCCTCCCTATTGCCCTGGGAATTGAAACTGCAAACATCAAAGCCCAAATTTTCCTCATGGTGCAGAAGAGCATGGACGTTAAGCCCTTTCAAATCCCTGTTTCAAGGTTTACTGTCTTCCCTGGTGTCCTATCACCGTTATGACAGTTCTCTATTTGTGGAGGGAGTATTTCACTCTGTTGAAAGTATTCTATTCTGCTGATAGGATACTCAAACAAAAATAAGCACATTTTCCAACCTGCTAGTTGAAAACAAGATTTTGTAAGGATTTTAGCTGAGCTGACGGAAGAATTAAAAAATAATAATTCATGCTATAAAATAATGTGCTATAGGTATCCTAAATTAATTGCAAACCATTATATAAATGACCGTATGGAGATTCATCCAACTGGGATACTACAGAGAAGGAAAAATGGCTTTTGGGGGGAAGGGAATGGCAGAGACAGATATACAGTGCTGTCTCTCCATTTTAAACCAGCAAGGATGGCAAGCTGTCTTGTTGTGCAAGCTTGCAGTCTTCCACCTACACAGCATATTTTCATTATACAGGCTGAACTCAAGCTGAAAGCAAAAACAGTTAAGCAGCTATCAATGATGTCAGATGGCTTACAACTAAAATAAGCATATACTGCCAGCTGGGGAGTACTATAGATAGCCTCTCCACCTACAATAAAGTATACATAATTTATTACAGACAACACTCAAGCTTTATTGTGCTCTAGCTATATTTTAGCACAAAATTTACACAAAAAAAGCAGCCAACAAAAAGACAGATTAGTAATTCAAAACTTTTGCTACTGTTAATTTAGCTGCACGACTGGTCTCAGCATTACCTTCGGTGCTCATGTCTGGGGTTGGCATCCAGACATAGGCAAGACCTTCCTCTTTATATAGTTTCATGAGGATTTCAGGGCTCATGGGTTCTGGGTAGCGGTTGCAACCCCAGGAATTCTGCACAATATCCCATTCGGTCTGGAAGTTCATTATAGCTGTAATACCCAGCTCGTGTTTTAGCTTGACAGTCACATGCTCCACCTGCCGAGGGCAACTTCCCAGCCAGATGTTTGGCAGAATTCTAGCATTGAGAAAACATTGTAGCGGATTTGATTAAAATATTTTAACAAAGAAACTGAGACATTAAGTGGCATTCCAGCTCAAAACCTGCTTAGCATCATCACATGAACACCGTTAAGCACACTGGTTTCATGTCATGCAATAAACAGATTCTTATTTCATTACAGTTTAGTTGGTAATGTTTGATGCTGAGGATCAAATTCCTAACCTACCACAAAGAGCCAGACAATCTGAGAAAAAGTTTAGGGCCTACTTAGTAGCTCACGTTTCAAAGGCATCCATCATTAATCTTCCAGTGGAAACTTACTAACATCACATATTAGGATAAGAAAACTTTGAAGGCTTATGCAATTTGCACAAAAAAATAAAAGACCTAATTGATTCATGTGATCTAAAACTGAATTACTTTAGTAGTAAGTCAAATGCAAAGAATTCTTCCAGCTTTATAGCTATCATTATAATGAGGAAAGTAGATAGAAAAAAAAACAGCTTAAGCCATCCTTCTGTGAGAAAATTCAAAAAGGAATGAATAACTGCCTTCCCCACTTTCCTCTGAACTTGCGGAGTCTAGAGGAAACCAGACACAGAATTACAATATATGTCTAGTTCCTTCAAGGCTTGAAGAACCACAATTTTTGCAAGAAAACGTGAGATATGTGTAAGATGGAATAACATCCATATTTCTGGTACTTATCCAAATTTACTCCAAGACTTCTATGTTTTGCCCATGATTACTTATCATAAAACCCACTAGATATCTCAGTAGACTTTGACATAAAAATAAACTGAAATATTCAGAACATTTTTTCAAATGGGGATATTTAATCTGCACATGGAATTATGCTGATGGTATCTAAAATGGATAATTTACACATGCAAATTATTAGTGGTCTACTTAATTAGTCTTTTGCATGCATAAATGCTTATTTTGAACAGGCAATCCACAAACTAAACAAAATACTCACACACAAGAGTACATACAACTTTGCAAACATTATTCCCTGCAAAAAAGTGAGCCCAATCTACAATGAATGCAAGATCTTCAAAAATAAAATAAGTCTGTCATGCCTTTCCTGTATTTTTTCCCATTTTAATCACAGGGACAAATGGGGGAACTTTTATTTTTATTGAGAGGCAGTTACTCATATAAACATCCCTTAAATCATCACGTAGCTACTTCCGCTTGATAGGACTATCACAGTAATAAGTGCTTACTAGCATTTAATTAAGCTCTGCAATTGACAATGATTAAATCCTGCTATATTACTACTGAAAGATTGCCATAAAAAACATTCACTCCAGGAATCACCAATATTTACTGTATTTCAGCTACATCCACAATGATGCATCAGCTACACAAACACAGTCTTTGGCCTTAAAAGCACCTGTTTCAGGGAGGCAAAGAACTTGATCTCGGTATGCTGTAACCAGGTCCCAAACTGCTGGATCACAGAGAGTGACTAAAAGCCTGATAATCTGAGCAAATAGATTACACAGCGATTAGATATATGTTAAAATAATCATTTCAATCATGTACCTATGAATGTGAGGTCGTTTGAAGAGATCTGATTTAGTTTAAGTGTTTCACATCCATGTCCCGGTCTAGATTACCACAAGTGTACCTTTCACTGTTAATAGAAAATGCATTTATTCCTAAGCATTAAGCAAACGTTAACTCAAAATCTCAGAAATTAAGATTTACACCTTAAAACTCATTTCCTTTGTCACTTTTCTTATACTCCTGAACTCTCCTTTCTAAAGGAGAGACAATATAGAAAGAAAGGAGCTCTAATACATAGGCCCTGAATTTTGTAAGCTACAAATTAAAGTCAGTTCATTTATTAAGAAGTATCAATACTCAGGCAGCAGTGGACTGCACAGCACTCTGAAGAAAATCAAATAAAGCACAACAGTTCTGTATTATCATTATGTTCAAGGCGCAAGCCCACATGCAGGTACCAGAAGGGAGCTTCACAAAATCGCCCGGGACCTAGCATAATCAACTGAAGATTCCCACGGATCAGACCTATTATTAGCAAAGGCTCCCTGCAGCAGGTCCTCCACTGCCCTACTACTTCTTATTTGCTAGCCCTACAGCAAATCAGCTCCTAATCTGAAAAAAAGAGAATTGCCAGGCTGCTGCCACCATAGGAATCTGTCACAATGATTAGAGCATTGTTAAGGTCCAAGCTAAAGGGCCCTTCAGACTCTTGTGAATGACTAGAGGTGAGCAGGGCTCACAACACTCAGTAATCATGAAAGAAAAATGACAACATCACTGATACCTTGCCACAATAAAAGGATATTCTTTCAAGAACAAGAACATCCTTCCTTCAAAGGGTTTCCTGGAGACTCATACATATGTAATTCTCTTGATGTCTTGGGAAACATCTAATACACTAATACCGTGACAGGAAAGCAAAAGTGTGTGTTCTAGTGTGTGACTGAATTAGCAGTGACTAAAGCATTCCTGAGACAAACAATATTCGAGGTAGTACTCCAGATTACAAACAAAACAATGCCTTACCATTTTCTCTCCAATGATTATTTAGTGGGTGAACATCGCGGCTGCACTATCTGCAAGATCACTGGGTTATGCATCATTTATTTATTCTGTTTTTGTAGCACAAAGGCTCTTGTCCATTATGCGACCTCTTGTATTTAACGACAGTAATCACATTTCGTGAACGATCTGACGCGCTTACCAAGTTTTTATCCCTGTATTTCCTGGTAAGTAATCAGGCTAGTGGTTGTATTCAGAGAACGACTAAAACCACAATGCCACCTGCCTGTATTTAGGACAGACAACTCCTGTGAATTAGTTTTCTGATCAGCTCCCAGAGTTTGGCCTTTGACAGGATCACGATGCTGTTTTGATCTTTGTCTTCAAGCCCATTCCTTACCCACCTGTAATGACTGCAAAGTCTTAATATTGCTGGACTAGGTTTAAAGGGCAGAGCTGTTTTATTGCCCACTTTATTTAAAAGATCTGTATTGCACCTACATTTGCATTTGGCTTTTTCTTGTTCATACCTTTATTTTGTCTTACATCAGAAGAAAAGCATTAGTGCAAATTTAAGTGCAGAAACTGAGGAAGAGTTTAGCAGCTATATTCTATATGTTGATTTTTGATAACCCTACTATGGGCTTAATTGTGTTGAAGATCAGGACCTATATATATTAAATAAAGCTAGAAAGTGGTAATTTCAGTTTTACATCTCTTAATTTACAGACGTGATTTTTTGTTTTCTTCTTCCAATGTGGTCTTACTTCCTCAAGTTGTTGTTACACTTCACTAGGTAACTAG